AGAGAGAGAGAGAGAGAGAGAGAGACTGCTAAGGGTCTTGCCCGTCAGACAACACAAAGCAGCTATGGCCTCTTCCTCTGAGGCAGCCATGCCTGACTCTGCCCCGAAGCTTATTGATGCAGCTCTACCCCAACGGGGGCTTTCCAGATGCAGCGCCCACCAAGGTGATGAAGATGGCGTCCACCATAGCCAGGTAAGTACCCCTGGCACTCCCCTCTCCTTCTCCCCTTCTTCCTCCACCATAGGTGGAGAGCTGGGTGGTGGAGAGCTGGGTTCTCCTCTTCCCCACAGCGCTGCTTCCAACCAGCGCTGCAGTAGCGTGACGCCAAACTTGCACGCAGCAAAATGAGGAGGAGCTCATTGCTCCTCCTGGAGATGTAGCGGCCAAGTTGCCTCTTGGCCAGTGACTTCCAGGCCGCACGGCCTCCAAGCCACCGGTACCTCCTCCCTTTCAGAGGGAAACATCATTGCAGGCTCTGATATCATCCGCACAGGCCCTAGACTCAGACTACTTGGACTGGCACCCGCCTAGGCCTGGCCTACCGCTACAGGGCCTCTAAAAATTGCCAACTTTTTGTTTTCTTCCGCTCGGCCTCTGGTTCCCGACAAATCTACCGCCACTTTGAGTGGTACCAGCCTACCTACTAGAGTGCCTACGGGCCTACACTACCACTACACTAGAGTGTGCCCTAAGCTTATCCCTTCGGCCACTCGAGCGTTTTTCCCCGCTACAACCCCAAAGTCACGGCCGCTGGTAAATACCGCTGGGTCTCCCAAACAAACAAGTGCCCTTGCGGGTCACACACACGCTCAGGCCGACAAGCACTCAGACAGGCATACAAACCAGCAAGCACACACACACACACAGACTTAGAAAACTCAGCAGAAAGCAGGAATCTCAGCAAGGCATTCATTCCAGCGGCAAAACTCAGAAACCAGCTGTGTTCTCAGTCCGTCTTTTGGATATATGGTCCTTACAACTGAACCATACCGCATAAGTAGGCCCATGAACTGACTGTTGAATTAAAGCCCTGTGTTGGAAATTGGAACTTGGAACTTGGAATGCAGATGGAACTAAAATGAGTCAATGACTAAATCAATGAAGAAAATTGTTAGAAATGCTGAATAACCTGGGCCATATAGAACAAAATAATAAAAAAGTCCTAGTGTGATTATGCGACTTTTCCGGATTTTTCAAGCAAGTTTTCTTATGCCGTCTTACTGACAGGATTTGTGCAAGTGTGCCGCATCGGCGGCAGACGGGTGTGCGGGCACTTGGCGCTGAACCACATGAACGTGGCCAACCTTGCATTTTCTATTGCATTGTCTATCTATACTTTTTTGGTTATGGATGGTTTGTTATGATTTGTGAAGGAAATGAGAGAGAATTTGGGGTGCTGTAACAATACACACACACACACACACACACACACACACACACACACAGAGAGAGAGAGAGAGAGAGAGAGAGAGAGAGAGAGAGAGAGAGAGAGAGAGAGAGAGAGAGAGAGAGAGAGAGAGAGAGAGAGAGAGAGAGAGAGAGAGAGAGAGAGAGAGAGAGAGAGAGAGGGGGGGGGGGGGAGGAGGGAATAGTTGAATTAGCAGATCAAAGGCTCTGGTAGATGGGCAAACAAGTGGATTGAACAGGCTTTATATTAGGTCAAAAAGTAGTGTGTGGACTCTGTCTCTGTGGAGTCTCCCTCAGAGTTATAATAAGAGTCTACATATATATACATATATATACATATAGATTTATTTGATCCATAAAAGGGTTGAGGGCAAGAAGCAACTTACCTAAGACAGAGGACTCCACCAGCAAGAAAGCACTGGCCCCATCTTCCATAGGTCCAAATAAACTTGGAGAGCCCTCCACGTCGGCCCACAAAACCACAAAACAGCATAACACAAAAGGCTCCACCAACAAAAAAGCGCGGACCACACATGCATGCCTATGGTCTAAAAAAAAATTAGAGCCCTCTGCGTCAGCCTACAACGCCTCCAAAAATTAAAAATACACCGCAGGACCTGTACGCAACACCAAGAGTGCCATGAACCTACCCCGCCGCGCAACCTGCAGAATCAGATGATGTCCTAGTGCTACAGCGAGGCCACTGCGAGTACTATGCGAAATTCCACACTGTGTGTGTGTGTGTGTGTGTGTGTGTGTGTGTGTGTGTGTGTGTGTGTGTGTGTGTGTGTGTGTGTGTGTGTGTTGTGTGTGTGAAATGCATGTTGCTTGGCCATCTAACCTTTTCCATCAGACTTTGTGTTCTTCTGTATAGTTCCCATGTAGTTGCAAATTGAATACACTTTTCTCGATCTTCTATTCCTCCTGGGACCTGATCACACTCTCAGGGTGGTACAGTTGAATACTAGCATGCACAGTACCAATGAATGATGACACATTCGTTGCTGTGAGACTCGGTGGATTATACGAGCAGACCCCTGGGAATTAGATTAAAAACTAACACCGCACCTGCCTTGAAAATTGGGAGAAATTCAGTCGAAATTCTCAAAACCACTAGATTACCAGAGTGGCCCGGGACCACTTGCCCAGCCGGGCCTTAAAGAATAAAATTATAAATTTTATTTTTTGATTGAAGTTCGGTAAATAACTTCAATGTGACCCTAAGGCAAAAGTTATTCAGTTTATTTTTCAATTTTCTCTGCATAACATAGATTTTTTTCCAGATTTTTTGGATTTTTTTTTTTTTTGGGGGGGGGGGGGGTTGGGACCTTCCCCGGTCCTTGCACGGCAGCGAGGCCCGGGCAAACAAGGCGACCCTGGCGGCCCGGCTGGTAGCCCAGCAAAACCAGCAAAAATAAATAAAAGAAAACACCAAAAATAAAAACCAAGTCCCTGATGTGGAAACAAGGCGCCTCCCACCAAATCCAAGAGCTGGTAAGAGTCTGCTGTATGGTGCAACACAGGCATTTGCCAGCTTTCTTTCCCCGAACACAATGCCCGGTCATTATTATGAATGAATAGGAGCTGTGTTCCTGACTGGATGCAGTCATAGTGACTGGGTGTTAAATTCAGGGGAAGAGAGGAGTGTAGATGTTGCATCTCTGTCCACTCAGCATTCTTGAAAGCTTTCATTCAGTACACTGCCAGCCACAAAGCTCACATGCCTACGTGGCAGGCAACTGGGTGCTCAACAAGCCTGGTAATGGACTCATGACCCTTAGTTCACTTTTTTTTTTTTTTTTTTTTTTTTTTTTTTTTTTTTTTAATTTATTTAGACCATTTCTCCATTTATTTATGTGTGTGATCCTTGCGCAGGGGCCATTTTGCTAATTGCCCTTCTCTGTATCGTTCCAATTTTAACGGATGTCCCGAAGGACACCCTTAGTTCACTCTATGCCACCCCTTCCCCCCCCCCTTCTGACAAGACCCAGTGAGGTGTACCAGAAGGGAGTGATATGAGCAGCTCCTTTTGGTAGGGTTTCTTTTTAACTTTTTTTTATTGGTCACTCCAATCTATTGGTGCGGAGCAGCACCTGCTGGGAACCGGGTCCAGCGTCCTGAACACTTGATATGACCCTTCATTTCTCTTTTGCTTGTAAAAAAGAAGGTCCTTGGTACTGGGATCACGATACGGCTCTTCATTTCCTTTTTTCCGTAAAATAAATAAATGGGAGGACCTTAGTAGACAAGAGGAAAAAATATCTGCAATGTCAACATCAATGCGCATTCAGTTTTAGTGAACGTGACTGTCCATATTCCTTGACGGACGTTTTTGATTCAGTTCTTGAATTGGTTGTGTTACAGTCACAAGACACCGGGTGAATTTTTTTTATTTTTATTTTTTTCGAGACACCGGGTGAAAATTGGAACGATGTAGAGAAGAATAGCATGGCATCTAGGTAAGAATGACACACATATATTGTCACATGGGGTCCCAAAAAAAAAAAAAAAAAAGGGCCGGATGTTTGATGTGCGGCAGCTTGCATTTGAGTGATTTACAAAACTCTTCATCTTACACAATCCAAGAAGATAGGAGGAGGAGGATTGCAAGTGTGGTCACCGTGTGCAGCCACCGTGGTATCGACTCTGACTTCCACGCGATGTGGCGTATTTTTGTGATATTCGCACTCCAACTCTTTTTTACTTTTTATTTTTTTTTGGACCATTTCTCGATTTATGTGTGTCATCCTTGGTGCAGGGGCCATGCTAATCTTCTCGGTATCGTTCCAATTTTAACGGATGTCCCGAAGGACATATGCGCACTCCAACTACTTTGCTATTATTTAGAGTTTCATCATGTTCTTTGCAGAACTCTTCTTGTCCTCACATATGAGGAAACAAAAAGGGCGGCGACGAAGTTTCCATTCTGTCAGCTTTCCCTATGGAGGGTACCGTCAGCAGACTCAGCACCCATTTTCCTCCCCTTCTTAGACTTTTCTGCTTCTAAGGGGCCTTGATCCCACACCCTTGTCTCAAGGAAGTCCTTTGGAAAATGCAGATCCCATTGTCTTCTGCAACCTTCGGCGGCTCCTGTTTCCCAGAAGGATAGCACGAGGGCGACAGGTTTCTGCACCCTTCTTGTGTCCTTTTATCAGGCTCGGACCTCCCTCCGCGCACGCACGGATTCGAACCGGCGCCCTCAGCCTCAAGAGCCGAGTTTCATAAACCACCAGTACTTGGCCCAGCTATCGATGCCAAGCCGGCCGACCCCCTGCGCGCCAAGTTTTGCCGAATGGCCGGGGCGCTGTTTCAAATTTGTTTTGGCTGGCGCGTACAGCCATTGTGGTCTGGTACCCCGAAGCCCTGCAGGCCCGGCGCGTTAACGGGGAAGCGCCACGGCCGATAGCTGGGCCAAGTACAGCCATGACACGGTGTACAGAAGTGGATCCATACCAGCAGTGATATCCACCCCACCCCTGCATGGCTGTGGTGTCCTTCAACTCACACGCACATGCACACACGACACCACACTCAGGCATCCACCACACAGGCGGTTGTCGCACACTCCACTCCGCTCCCAATCCAGCACGACTGCTTTCCAGCAGGGATTTTAGTATCATTTTACCCACAGGCCACCACAATCCTGATCAAATGACCAGAAAAAAATGGGGCTTAGGGTCCTCTTGGTCGGGGGGAGCATACGTCACCCCTACCTTGTCCGGAAGAGCGAATTTCAAGGAACCTCCAACCGGGGCCATGACCACATAGCCAATTGTGAACGGCTGAGTCATTCCCATATCTCCTGATGTGCTGTTCATTTCTGGGCACTCGAAGCGAAACCGGTTGTGTGGGGTTCCAATTTCCCTCTTCCGGAAGGTCCAAGAAAACACCAAATCTTTTTCGCTTAAACCACCAGTACGTTTCCCACGTCGCAAATCAAAGTCGTGGCATGCATGCTGCCGCGGCTCTTAGGAAGTACCAGGGCACCGTTTCGCAGCACATCCATCCAGGCAAAACGGGTCGCATGCTAGGCCTGTTTTGCCTGTGGATGGAATTCCAGCGAAACGGCGCCGCGGTGCTTCCCGAGAGTTGCGGCAGCATGCACGCCTCGACTTGGATTTTTCTAGGTGGGAAACGTACTGGTGGTTTTAACCACCACTGCCGCCCAGCCTCCATTTTTTTC